TGGATTCCAGAATACCATATCCATCATTTCCTTTCTTTTCAGCTTTTTCTCTCCCCTTTCCAGCCACCCTTTTCAGCCCCTTTGCTGATGCCTCATCATATATACATCTAGAGACCTCTTATCTGTCTATACATTTTCCCTTGGTAATCTTATCCTGGCCAATGGATTTAAATACTATCAACGTGTTGACTTCTAAATTATTATCCTCAACTCTGATCTTAGATCCCCTTTCTTTACATGCATTCATAGCCTTATAGGCACTTCAAGATTAATATGTTTAAAACTGACATCCTAATGTTCACTCCCAAACCTGTTCCTTCTACAGTCTCACCCATCTTGGTTTGTGGCAACTCTATATTTGGCCAGTTGCTTAAGAAAGAAACCTCACAATAATCCTCGGTTTCTCTAATTATTTCCTAAGTCACATCTACTCCATCAGGAGGGAAATGACTTTGATGAAATATTGGCCTCCAATTCTGCTACCAGATATGCTGTGCTAGAGATCATGAAACAGAAAAGCTCACATGTAAAATTAAAATGCTCATATCATACCATTTGTTTATTTTTATTATTTATTTTTTTGAGACAGAGTTTCACTCTTGTTGCCCAGGATGTAATGCAATGGCACGATATCAACTCACTGCAAACTCCACCTTCCGGGTTCAAGTGATTCTCCTGCCTCAGCCTCCCAAATAGCTGGGATTACAGGCGTGCAGCACCACACCCAGCTAATTTTGTATTTTTAGTAGAGATGGGGTTTTACCATGTTGGTTCAGTTGGTCTCGAACTCTGACCTCAGGTGATCCACCCACCTTGACTTCCCAAAGTGCTGGGAGTACAGGCGTCAGCTACCACACACGGCCCTACCATTTATTAAATGAGTTAAAAACATATGGCAAGAGGGAAGAGATTTGGAGGATAATAAAATTAGAATAAATTCAGACACAGATTGTTTTGTACGTTTGTTTATGTGTCACTTGGTCCAGTAACAGTACCTGGCACATAGTAGGTGATTAAAAAAACAAGTGCTAAATAATCAAATGTATGAATACTGTTCTATGTGTGAGTAACCCAATATACAAGAATCACAGTAGAGAAAGTGCAGTGTCACCCTAGTATAATGAGGATGGGCATGGAGTTGGATAAATGTAAATTTGAATTCAGGTTCTGCCACTTACTAATTAGGCATAGAAATATAAATTAAGTTGGCCTATTTAAAACAGAGACAAAAGCACTCCGAGCTAAGGGAAGCATAAAAGCTAATATGGAAAATTTTGGGGCACCTGTGTAGGATAACAAGTGACTTAATTTGGTTGAAGAAAACATGAAATACATGTGTAATGAGCATAAAAGCATAAATTATTAATATATCATAAATCTTTTTAAGGCAGTTTAGGAGAGTAGCCTTGTTATATGGGCAAAATTAAGTGAAAAAAATTGTGAATATTATTAGGACTGTGAATAACATAAAAAAATGGACAAGAAACTAATAAATTTCACTTGGAGACATACTAGATTTGAGATATTAGTGGATATCAAGGTATAGATACACAACACAGAGTTGAAAATGAATTGGAAATGTGGCTATAACTCAAGAAAGATTGGAAGTGGTGAAGACAGAGATACAATGATCATTTGCATACAGATTGAATACAGATTGCATACAGATTGAGGCCAGGAGATTAAATTATTAATTATTAAATTATGTTAAGAGAACAAGTACACAGATAAGAAGGCCAAGACATCTCCCATGAGGTTCACAAGCTAAAGAAGTTGAAAGAGCAGAAAGAGCCAGATAATCAAAGACACAGAATAGTCAGAGAGGAAGAACCTGCTGAGTGTAGAGGCTAAGAAAAATGTTTCTTCAGTGGTAGAAAGTTAGGAGAGCTGAATAAAAGCCATTTGGCTCTGTGACTAAGAATACTTATTTGTTGAATAAATAAATGAACAGTTAAAGCAGAGTGATGTGTTTGGGGAGTGGGGGCATGCACGTTTTTCCCACAGGGGACAGTCACCCGCATGGCTCTCTCTTATAGAGGACTTTATTTTTCTCTGTAGACCACACTTTAATAAAACTTTCTGATGGCATCAGATCCAGCCTGTCTTGACTTCATTTGAAGTAGAGCAGGTACAGCCTATAGCTGCAGTGTAAGCTCAGTCCTTCTGACACTTTTGAAATTAATGTTTAGTGTGAATAAAGGCATACACTTATCAAACCTAACTATATTTAACATCATCTTCTGATATGCTTCTTTAGTAACAGTCAGAATATATCATTCCTCATCTCTTGTGATTTGTGCTGTGTCTTTTCCAAAGGATAAACATTATACTGATTTGAATGCCTTATTTTAAATAACACAGGTAAGTGAATTTGTTGAATTATCTGTAATTTATGACATAATGTATTCGGTAATTTTTACACAAAGGTAGAATGAGCAGAGTCTAGCAAGATGTAAGTCCATTTGTAATTACTTCATTAAGGAGTCATACCTGAGCAATGCCCTAATGAGGTGGTAATGAGGTGAAAATGCGCTACCAGAATAGGCATTGCAGAAAACCTAGAAAAGGCAGCTCAATAAAGTGATAATGAGAGGGGGGGAAAAAAAACCATTTATCTTTGCTTGGTGTATGCTCCTTAATTTTAGGAGGTGGCACTTATTCCTTAAGTCTTGGTGATTTCAATGGGGGGAATGGTATAAATAGAGTCTAGAGAGTCGATGGAGAGTCAAGAGGTCCAGAATGAGAGGGAGTGAGAAGAGAGCTTTGCAAGTAAACTAGCCAAGGATGGAGGTCGTAACTATTTCAGAGTTCCGAATTTTTAGCTAATGCATCAATTAACTGCCAAATAAATTACTAATTAAATGCACGCCACTATCTTAAAAAAAAATCGAGTCTCCAAAAATGTACACATTTTTTAACCAATAGGATCAGGTCTATCATTTTTAAACTCTCATTTATAGTGTAGTTTTGATAAAAATCACATCATCTAGCACGTTTCAAATTGGCTCCGCTGAGCAAAATCAATCATTTTTGTTAAAAAGTAATTCTTGCAAATCTAGCAAACTTAGCGCATTTCATTCCCACGCTGTAAAGTCTACAAGGCTATTTCTTGTATGTTGGATTCCATACAATATTGCAAGAGTGGAAAACTCCACTGAGAGGCTTCTTCATATAGAAAGTACGAAACATTGCCTAGAATATGACCTGCTTTGAGTGTGATTTTTTCTTATAAATACTACAGAGCCTGCTATACACAAGTTTAAATTAGCAAAATTAACGGAGAGCATATGAAGAAGCTTGCAGTTGCATTTTTCTTACACAGAATATATATTTTGGAATGAATATAAAAAATAATTCACTTGTAGTATATGTATTTTCTTTATCTAGAAAAATCTCCCCAAATAGTGTAATTAGCAATTTTCACAGATTTGCCCACACTTTTTGAAGTTACATATATAAACCTTTTAATGAGCCTCATGTTTTTTATAACCATTAGTAGCCTTTGTCAAAGAGAACCTTAGAGGTTATTACATATTGAAAGTAGAAATCATTATTATGGGAATTCATATTTATGAAGAATCGTCATATAGTAAACCTAGAGAAGTCTCAATAACAAAGTAGAATCATATGAGGGAATCAGTAAAACTGGGAAAAATGAAACAGCTCTTCACGGGGAGATAAAAAGCACTGAAAAATTCAAGCAAGTAAAAGCAGTGTTAGATTATCTTGGAAGCAGTTCTCTGGTTTGTACAACAGAGAATAAATGTTGACAGACCTGTGAAGGAAATGGGCTCCGTGTAGGGTCAGAGGTGGTGACATAAGCAGCCTGTGTGTAGGCATAGCTCTTGAATCGAGGCTTAGGGGAAGAAGTTCTCTCATAGCCCTGTGCTAGACTGACTGTGATCTGCAGAGAAGGGTTTGGGGGAGTGGATAGAGAGGAGGAGGAAAAACCATAAGTAACCCAAAAGGACTACTTTCCAACATGGTAGAAAACAGAACATTAAATGGAAACGGTGAGATTTAATGTTTAATACTAAACATATATAAATGATATTAGAAATTGGTATACTCCCAGAATTATGGCACTTAATGTCATGTTGGAGAATAAATGATCTGGGAAGATATGAGCATGCTATTTAACCATGAGGATTCCATAGTAATACAACTCCAATATTTATATGGGATGGTACTCTTCAATCTGGCAAAAACAGGCATCCAAAAGCAATTTTCTCTAAATCCAAAGTAACTAAAACCAGAATTCATCAGGTCCATACCCTGCAAAGGACTAAAGATTTCAAAAGCTAGTATAGAGCTAGCTCAGTAAAGTGAGAGAGTTTGGCCTAAAAGCTTTCCACACATTCCGACAGAAATGTTGCTAAAGGTTTCTTCACGATTGCTTGCGCCTGAGAAAGCACAGGAAAACATCCAAACTACCCACGGTTGAGAGAAAGAACAAGCCAGTGTCAAGGAAGAACCCCAGTGAATTCTATACAGTTATATAATGAAGAATTTCATCATGTTTTTCTTTAATGTTTATTTGAAATATTTTAAACCACTTTTCTGTTTTCAAAGTTATCCTGAATAATCAAAATCTGATTTTGTACATCATATTGCCATGAAGTATTTTTAATGATTAAAAACAATATTTCCCTTTAATCTAGTTGATGAAGATTTTAGAGTTTAATATGTATGTAAGTTTGCCTTTCATTTCATTGTGTGTTACACAATGGAAATGTAATATATTATGTTCTATATTCCTACGATATGGTACATATCAATAGTATTTTTTAAATACGTTTGAAAAGAATATTGTAGTCAATGAAGCAAAACTGAAAAGGTTTACATAGTCTGTCTTTCTGTATATATACATACATTAGGCTTTGTATATATACATGTATATATACATATATATTCGTTTTATATATATGTGCACATAATACCTAAAAATGCATATAAAATAGAAAACATCTTGAATATTACCTGTCCTTTGGACACTTTACCTGTTGAGAATAGTGCATTTGATGATGTAATTGAAAATGTTCTTCTTTAGTCACTTTAGGTGGCCTTGGCAACATTTCCACTTCCTGGATGGCTTCAATGCTCACTTGTTGAGGCAAAACTTGGAAGAGTGATGTGATGTACATTAAGATGGACTTCTTATCTGGATAGGTGGTAGCAACATCTGTAAGCACATTAACACTACACATCAATTCTTGGTTTCTATATTTGAGACTCTAAAAGGATAATGAACAAATCAATGTTACAGGAAGATGATAGATTAATGAACACTTAGTTGGCCATGAATGTCCTCCAGAGACGAATTAGAACATGATAATCAGGCCTAAAATGTCTTTCCAATTTGGCAGACCAATGAGATGAGCAGTAAAGTTAGTTTTTTTTCCTTGTTCATATGAAAGCTTTATTCTATATTACTTTTTCCTAAGTCAAATTGCCAGACTAGCCCATCTAACAGAGTAGCTTTCATTAGGCAAGAAACAAAAATAAAAGATTACATTTTCCTTTCCATGGAAAGTTATATTAACATGTAAATTCAAATGGTGCAGTGGTAATTAAACAATTACATAAAATGGCTTAATGCTTTAGTTCTCAGTAAAGTAACCTTATACCTTTTTAATTGAATGCTGCTGATATTAAAGTATGCAGACAGCTAAATACGTCTCTGTGCTGAAATGAGTCATGTATCCACAATATAAACAGAAAAATACTGTATAATGATTTTTAATATTCCTTGTATATTAAAAATATTTGTTTATATTATGGCCCATCTGATAAAGTAGAATGTCGTTTCCCTTCCCAGACATTAGAGATAAATGCAAAAGTCCTACACATGAAGTTGATCTGACTTCACGTCCTTTGCCACATCCAGAGGGTGAATGAAACCCAGCATTTAAAGTCGGTAATAATTTGTAATAACACATATAAAGTGGCAGCTCCTTCAAAAGATTCATTTGCTACTTGGCATTACAATTTAGTTACTGCACTCATTCCAGTGAACCAAAATGTAAAGTAATCCTTTATGTGAAGTGTGTCATTAATACTAGAAAGTGTTAAAACGTAAGTTCTGACAATGAAATGCTATTTAGATAGCATTTCATTGTCATCCTTTTTCATCCTTTAAAAAGAAGGAAATTTTGTCATTGAGGCAACATTTGTAAATCTGGAGGCTATTAAGTGAAATAAGCCAGGCACAGAAAGACAAGTACCACATGATCTCACTTACACATGGAATCTAAAAAGTTGAATTCATAAAAGTAGACAGTAGAATGGTGTTTACGAGGGGCTGTGGGGTAGGGATTGGGAAGATGTTGGTCAAAGTCACATTTCAGTTAGATAGGAAAAATAAGTTCAAGAGATCTATTGTACAACCTAATTAATAATAATGTATTATATTCCTAAAAATTGCTGTGAGAATAAAGTGTACTCACCATGAAACATGATAAGCATATGAAGTAATACATGTATTAATTAGTTCAATTTAGCCATTCCGGAATGTATACATATTTCAAAACATGTTATACATGATAAATGTATGCAATTTTAGTTTTTTAATAATTAATCAATATAAAAATCAAAGATAAAAGATAAACATAAATCCTGGCAGGAGGTCAAGGCAATGTGGCAATGCATTTTCCTTGCCATACATTTATCTTAACTACTAGTAAGAGATCTGTATTCAATTTGTATATTCTGATCAGGTGTTCTGATTATAAGTGAAAAAGCCAAGAGTAAAGTCTCAAGTCCATTAGCACAAAGGGAGGTTGAACAAGTGACTTCATCAATTCTTTTACAAGTATCAGAACCATGATTAATCAGAACAACTATTTAAAAAAAGTTACAGGAGAGGGAAAAATTAATGTTCCTTGGTCCACTTCTATCCATAGAATAATACAGTGCTTCTCAATTTTTAATGTACATATGAATCACCTGGGGATCTTTTAAAACTACAGAATCCGATTCAACAGATCAGCGGAAAGCCTGTAGCTCTGCATTTCCAATAATCTCCCAAGCGATGCTGAAACTGCTAGCCTGCTACGTTGTGAATAAGGGCCAAAAACATTACTTATAAGCAGACTGTTACATCATCTCCCATTTTATTGTTTTATTCATTTATTCAAATGATATTTATTGGACATTTCAATGCACAAGGCTGAGAGGTACAAAGTTATACAACACATATGCTCAACTTGTTATACTTTAATTAGCCAACAAATGGTCAAAGTAATTTTTACAAGTACTTTTTAAAGAAGAAGTAAATAATATTTTGTGCATGAACACTGCCTTCCTTAATAATCTTACTAACTTAGCTTTGGAATCCTGAAGCCTACAAATCTCCATTTCATTCGGTAATTGTTTTTCAAAATATTTGACCAAATTGTTTCTTATATGGTGAATACTATACTTCACCATATCTTGAAATTCTAGAAAACTTTCTTCCTTCTCACTAGTAACTAGTCAGCTTTACCTGTGATTAACACAACTTAGAGCTCTTTCATTTTTAGTATATTAAATAAAACCATGATGGGAGAAAACAAATTAAAAAGGGTTGACCCTGTGCCTATTCACTGCTGTGTTATAGGCATATGCATGTATGTTTGGCCTCAAACATATGCCATGATAAAAAGTAAAAAATGGTGCAAAATTGGCCAAGCATTTTTATTGCCCCAAGAAATGTCAAACATTGTAATAAATTTTATTTACATAAAACATGTGGACTGAATGCAAATATTTTTGTCAATCATTACAAAAAATATGTACTTATTTAACCAAACTATTGACATTTTGCCCCAAACTATTACTATCACACTTCTGAGATTATGTGGAATTCAAAACTGCCAGGAGGTAGAAATCAGTATTTTTTTAAGAAAGGAATTTAGGTCTAAAATATTTTGAATTTCGTCAACATACATTTTCAAGAAATCTATTATATTCAAAATATTTTAATGGATTATCCAGGAGATTTAAAAGAGAAAATTCATGAATTCTGCTTCCAATTTGGAATAAGAAAATAAATAATAAAAGTACAAAGTAATTGCATTGCTGAACAGAATTTAAAATGTGTTCCTCTAATTGGCACAACCAGTTCTTTAACATGTTCAGATTTTAAAAATCATATACTATTAGAGGATCAAGCAATTCTCTTTGAATAGGAAACTGAATTAATTATGCATAGGATTTCAATAGCCGGAAATGAGGGAATGGGCAAGAGTATTCCGGGCAGTGGGAGTATCTCAGGTAAAGACGCAGAGGTAGGGACACATTAGCCATGTCTTGGGAACAGTGGCTTTGTGTATCTTAACCAGTGAGAGGACAGTAGTGAAAACTAAGATGAAACTGGTAGATGGTACGTAGAAAACTGAGGGAATATCAACAACAAACTAGAAAATTCGGCCTTCATTCAATAGGTTGGAGAGTAAACACTTTTCGACAAGAGGGTGACATCATCAAAATTTTATTCAAGTAAATTCTTTAAGTACAGAATGGATTGCTGGAGAAAAACTTGAGAGAAATAAGAGATTAGGATCATAATCCAGATAAAAAGTGCTCAAGAACTAAGGTAGAACTGCGTATGGGGGAAATGAAAACAAGGCAACGTATGACAAAAATTCTAAGAGAGATCCAAAATGACTTCATTCAGTTTTCAAATCATTTACTCCACAGTTTTTGGAAATGCCTATATACAAAGTTATGTGCTACAGCCTGAGGATATAAAGATTAATAAACTAAGAATAAAACAAAGAAGGTAGAGGATGAAGGAGGAAGCTGATCATTCTGCAGTCATGGTAACAAGTAGACACCAACAAGTTTCAATCTAACCTATTTATTCATTTAACAATTAGTTGCCTCCATGATTGTTATCATGCTTCCCCCAGCCAACCAGCAGCAAATGCTCCCTTCTGAAAGTTTGCCAGAGTGGATTCACTTCAATGAACATAATTCTGAATTCAAACTAATTAAATATCGTCTCACCTGAAATACCATGCTTCTAAAGCTATCATCATCCTATTCCCAATTCGAAATTTTCTTAGCTTGCTGGCCCTCTGATTCTCTCCAAAACCTAAGAATACGCTGCTTTCCGAGACTGTGGTTGACCAGCAGAGTTCCCTCTAAGTAAGATGTTATGAAGCTCAAATCCAATGTTTAGAAAACCTGTAAAGTTTGTTAAACCTTAATACTATTGCTGTATTGCATTATTTTTTGTCATTTTTGTCATATTTTTGCTGTTTCTATTATTAACACAAAAACAAACCTAGTTGTAGGAGACCATTTGTATACTATTAACAGGAAGTCAGAAGGCTTTACTTAGAAGGAAAAAGCAATGATCACTTAATCCATATTTGCTGATTGTTATGTGCTATACAATATGCTCAGACTATGTTAGATTATGAGTATACAGCAGATGAGTCACCCCGTAATTATAAACATTACTTTTTATGGGAAATCAAAATGAATTTTATGACTTGGGGATAATCCTCATTTATGATGACTGCACTAAGGCCAATTCCTGGCACTCTGCAATCACCTAAGAATTTGTTAAGAAACTGAATACAGAGAACAGTTAAAGTCATAGAAATTGATAAGAATTATGTAAGACAGTGACTAACAGCAATGGTATGATAATGAGTACTATGAAGAATTTGAGGAGTATGAAAATGATGGAATGTAATTTATACTTATTACAAGACATTAAGATTGTATGAAATGAGAGAAGTGGCTGAATCCCCAAAATAAGAACTTTACAATTATATGAAAGTAATTTTGCACTAAGACTGTACTACACAAAATGTTCATTGACACTGGATTTTAATAATTGCTTATCCAATCTTTGAAGCCGTCTCAGAATGGAAATGGTGAGAACTCATAACACTGCTAGAGATTTTACTTTCTGAACAATAACACCGTTTCTGATGAGTGTTTCATATTTGAAGCTACTATGGAACAAATAAATCATTTAGTGAAATTTGGTCATTTTTCAAATAAAGAAGTTGAACCTCATGGTGGTTAGAAGGCAAGTTCAAAAACTAGTCAAAATCGGATGAGAACCCAGTCATTGCACTAGCCATGGTACCTTTAACCTCATTCTCTCACATTCTATCTCAGTGTATTTGAAGACCAAGTATCTGAAAGTCATTATTCAAATAGTTACCTTGTAAGTAATGTGGT